TTGGGCCCTGAACAGTGCTGATTTTACAGTTTTCAATGGGGCTTGAATTAGTGGACTGGACCCTGAGGGCTGTACCGGTACCAGAGCGAAAAATGGACGCATGTGGTTTGCAACTATCCCAGACAAATCTCAAAACATTGAGCAGACCTCCCCCTCCCACATCTCGGTCGATGTTGTTTCTCACGGGTCATGATCACTGCAACCTGGGGGAACGGCTGATGTCCTTTCTCACCGCTGAGGGCAGCATTCACAAAATCCGTGTGTTTCCTCCAACGGCCAACACGATAAGTAAAGTTTTGATCTAGCAGGACTGGTGGCGCTATAACGTGTCTGCATGATATCAAAAACTTCTGCGGATCATGTTTCATCGACGTGGGATAATAGTTGACGTACTAATTTCGTTGGAATTATTAAATATTAAAAAATGAGGGCACCTGCACCATTTATTAATAACGAGGATGATTAACCAGGAAATGCACAACTGTCACATGTTTATTATGCATGCATATTGTATACAGTGTACGTTTCAGCGTATCGCTTTTCTCAACATATGCACGGTATATAAAACTAGTAATGTTTAAATAAATTAATAAATGTTTAAATAAATTTCAGGGAACAGTAATGCAGGACAAAAGAAGTGTTCACAACCATTTATTTCTCAACACGAAAGCATTTCCATTATTTACATTATTGTTACATGAAATAGTGGATATCGGTTACAACACGGAGGTGTCCTCGGTCGTGTATCGAGGCTTTTAGTTCGGGGTGGGAAGAGGCAAACGGGTACTTTTTATTTCTTGAAAAGAAAATTCATTTGTTTTCCTCCGTAAAAGAATTCCTCTTCCTGATGGAAGGTGCTTATGTCAGTGCTAGAGCGTCAGCCCTTAAAGGCAACATGCCCAGGAGGAGTGTGTGTGTGTGAGTTTGTTTCTGCATTCAATTGGGGACCCTGAACAACAGAGGACAATAAGGTCCCTGATTGACAGAGGGTCCCCGATTGACAACTGTGTATAAAACATATGGGTGGTCTTCTACAAAAGTTAATGTACAAACAAAAGAGGAACAATAGGGGGTCCCCAGTTGCAGGCAAATACACACTTCATGGTGTGTGTGTGTGGGGGGGGACTCCCCTGCATAGCCACTGGTTGTCCTTTTTTTCCCCTGACAAAATGGACAATTCAAGTAAGTGTTGATAATGTAAACCTTTGCATTAGTGGCTGTCCAGTGAGTAGTTATTGAGGATTTAAATTCTGATCGTGGTAAGCAAAATGGGAAGTGGGAGTAAAATGTATCACTTTCGCGTTCTTCAACAGCTTAATGATTTTGTTATAATTCCATAAGCGGTAATAATGGCGTCAAGTTCCAACAGCGCCATCTATCGTTCACGCAATCTTTTCTTCAACCTTTGATAACTTCGGTGATTTATCGCGGCATATTTCGTTTAGCGTTGCTTCATATTTATTGTGTCAATTAAAAATGACCTTGTTGGACCTGCAAGCCACGTTTGGGTCTTGACTGTCAAACATTCCCCCCAACAGCAGATGACACGAAACATACAGCAGTACATAAATGTCTGGCTATACAAAATGGCGGCAACATGTTAACACATCAACTCCAAGATGTTTTCTGTTTGCAGGTTGACGTCACACATTTTTTTCAGTTTTGTGGAAAACATCATTATAATATAGTATTTATCATAAATCAAACTATAAAACTCTAGGCTTCAGAATACGGAACAAAATGAGTAGCATTCGAATTCCTTTGATTATAATAAAACCAACATTGCATGCCCTTCTATATTGTTCGAATGAAATTAAAAGGAACATGAATGCTCCTATGGGAATCGACTGTTTGCTTGTTTTCTCGGCAATACTTATCCCCGGGTGGGTGAAAGAATTTGTAACATGGAATTGGTCGTGTACAAACCTTCATCAGTCAAAAAATCCCATCGTCAACCATCTCACCCAGAATGCACCGCGCCCTTCTCAGGAATGCGTCACAGGTCACTGGGTCAGTCAAGTCCAAAACACCCCCACCCCTTGCCTGGCAGGTCTCCAGCTAGCTAAGCACACACATGGCCGAGGCTGATCAATCGGCACCGGTCGCAGACGTGGGCGATCGAGTTTCCGACGAACGACAGACGACCAACCATTTCTCCCGCCAGCCTCAAAGACGAGACCGACCCGTCTCCTTGATTACCAGGCATCCGACGAGTTCCTCAGTGACACTTTTTTCCCCTTCTTTCCCCCCGGCCCCTTCTTTCATTTTCTCCCCGGAAAATTTACGACCAACTTGCGGGAACCAATTGCCCTTCATTTTTTCCCCGTCCGTTCTTTGCTTTTGGTAAAGAGAGTGCGAGCGAGCAAATAAACGCGTACAAACTGCGCATGAATTTTTGATGTTGAGTCCGGCGGTTTCCACCGCTTATTGCCATGCCGGCCTGGGCCACTGAAGACAAAATTACGACCGGCGAGTTGTAACTCAATTCGGTTGCTCCTTCTTTCTCTCTCGTTGATTTGAAATGTTAGCGAATAGCCAGGGGATTTCCAAGGCTGGGCCCTGCCACCAGGTGATGAAGAAAAGAAAGGGGGGGGGAAGGTGGAGCAAGTCTTGGGGGAAATTCATTGTTCCAAACTATAAATATGTTTTGGTTATTGGTCATTTTTAGCAAGTGTGGAAATATCGAATCATGAAGTTTGAAAAAAAAACACTACGTGCCCCACTTGCAAGTAGACATAATCTCTGCTCTGACGGTGACAAAAACTCATCGATTCCCGAAAAACGTTGGGTTTTCTCTTCTTTCTCTTGTTTCAAAGTTTCAAAGTTCTGATTCAAAGGAAGCAGCCATGGAACTAATGTGCGCTCATAAATGCACGATTGCTATCAGATGAGATGTGTTCCTAGTTGTAAAGGCTTCTCCTTCCTCAGCGGGTGGAGGTGGTGTTTCCTTCGTCCAGTGAGAGATCAACAGACGCTTTGCGACGTGTAGCATCTGCACCGAGTTTCGCCGACTGGGCTTTAGGTATAGTCGTCTGCAGTCCAAGACATGAAAGATGTGTGTCACTGTAATCCTGTGATGCCGGTGGGATGCAAGGCATGAAAAGCAGCTTATTACAATAGAAACAGAGAGTGGCTGTAATAGACTTTCAAACTTCAGCGTTCAAATGTCCTGGTTTTAAACGGCTACATTTCAGCAAACAGTTGTTTGATCATCATAATTATTAAGCTCATCAGCAAATTAATAATCAGGTTTTCTCTTGCCCAAAAGCTAATGAATGGACACTCCCAATTCCTTTGTGAAAATAAAAACGTCGCATGTGAATTCTTTGTTCTCAAAATGAAGCTAGGGGTCTTTGTTTCGGCGCTTCCAAATTGATTTGTCTAGCAGGTTTCAGTCATTTTGACCTTGTCCGAATCATGCGTCGACGGCAGTAAACAACAAGAGCGGGTATGAAAGCCATTACCCAGCGGCTGCTGCTGTTCTCCAACAGACGTGCGTGTTAGTGCTGGTCGTAGCCAAGTATTCAGCGGCTGCTGCTGTTCTCCAACAGACGTGCGTGTTAGTGCTGGTCGTAGCCAAGTATTCAGTACACCGCTTTATAACTCTGCGTCTTGCTACCCTATTTATATCATTAGGCCAGCACTCATCGAGGCCGCTCTTGGTTTATAGCTGGTCTTCGGGTAGCATTCACGGCACCTGTCCCGTTCGTCTAGCCCCTGTTGTGTAAAGAGCAAAAAGGGAACACAAAATAAACAGTAACCAACACACAGGCCAAGAAAAGGACGACTGTAAAATAGAATTTCAAATCAAAATGGGACCCGATAAGACACAAGAACCAGGGAAAAAGCGGGGGGGGGGCCTGCAAGTTGCATATAGTTTAGGAATTCTCATTACCGATGCGTTTATATCACTACTGGGATGATGCTGTGAAAACTTCAGAAGGTAATTTTTTTTTAATAATTTGGACCAAAAACACAAAACATTAATGCATGTTTGTTTAACAGTTGACAGCATTTAGCTAGAAACACTCCGAGCCAATGGTTTATATGCCTCTGGCTGTTCATATCCCCTTAACTTGGCAATGACATGCAAATTCTAAAAGGGATAGTTAAACATGATCCTGCAAGATGATTCCTGAAATTGTTAAAGTATCGTAACATATCCCTGTACATTTTAGCGTCTTTCAAAACCTCAATAGGCAAATATCCTAGAGCCTGATAGTTCTCGTTTCATCGCATGAAAATTCTGCTGGAGTAATTCCAGTAAACTGGTCATACAGAACGAAGATAGGGTATCACTTAAAATCCTGTTAACATCTTTAACATCTTTGAATTCTCTTCATGAGGCTTTTAATTTTGGTTTTCCGCAGCACATCGCTCCTTTCATTTGTTTGTTAAGCAGGAAAACCTCCTTCCAACTTGATGTTGTGGTTCGTCTTTGTTGTGCATCTTGAGAGCTAGACGATTAATCTGGTTTTTTTCAAATCCACAATGTGTTCAGCGCTTGAGTTCAAACTAATGCGAGTTTAATAATTTCAACAGCCCTTTTAGTCACGGGGCGAGATGGTTTTTTTTATCAAAAGATGTAAAAAGCTAGAATAATGCTAGACTAAATCCTCAAGGTAAGGATTTTCTGGTGTTTGCTTCATAGGAGAATTTTGATCAGAAGCTCCAGCTTAGTTTGAGAAAGGTTCTGCTGAGAACTAACTTGAGGGTTTTTGTGCTTAAGATGGTACCACCCACCTTTTAAAGTTTAGTTGCCTTGAAGCGTGTGATAATTTCCACAGAAACAGCGTGCTGTGTCTCTGTCGCATTGGGTGAGTGCTGCATATTAGGGGTAATAATGATTTAAAACGACTCCCAGCGAATGGCAGTAGCTAGGTAACAAAAAGTAGAATGCAAGGCAGGTATTTGATGATAAAACCACTTCATTTACGACTTGTCCCCGATTCATTTTCTTTTTCTTCAATCATTTCCACTCTGACTGTAATCCTGGCAATAAAATAAATTGAATAGAATACACGTCGCATGTAAAATCAATCAGACTATTTTCTTTCCCGGGGAGAGATTGGGGAAATCTTAAGCTGTAGAGACACAGCGGCCTCCTTAGACTCCGCGGCCATCGGGCCACGGACCCCGCACAACGGCCCAGCGACGCCGGTCGTTAAACTGTTTTATCGGCGGAGCTATGGCCCAGGACAGGTTGAAAAATGGCACGCGCCTTGTGGCGGCGTTTCGGTCTTCAGTGAAACGGGGCCAAGACCATCTTGTTAATTGGAAGACGATTGCCGAAGACGTAGCCAGGATCGAGGGGGCGGAGTCTGAAAAAGTCCCATGGGAGGGAAAAACAACGAAACATAATCGACCATGAAGAACTTAAGATTTGTTATTTGAAGTATCAATAACACGAATGCATAATTACCCTCAAAATGTGAACGCTGAAAGTCATTTTTCGTCGCAACGATGTACTGAAACATTTGAACAGGGCCTTCCTCAATGCTTGTCTGAATGGGAAAGAATAACTGAGTTTCAATATCCAATCAGACTGTCAGAATCAAACGTTTGCTCTTGATATTTCATTATTGATTGACATAAGGATTGCCAATGAATAATCCTCCCATTATTGGAATACATTGTGTACAGAACAGCGCTTTGAGATTGTCGAAATGGAAAGCGTCCACAGATCGGCACGGCCAGAAAACTCGTCAAATCTTGTCTTGAGTGCGTGCCTGGAATGACATAACATTAGCAGTAAGGAACGGCATGAAAAACCGAAGATGTTGAACAACAACACACCATTAAACGTGCAAACCGACTGGTTTTATGTCATCATTCTACACAAGTCAGATGAAAAGATTTTTACAAAGAAACAGCTTTGCATTCTCGTGCCAAATATGGAGCCCAAAAATATTTCCTTGCTGAAGAGAAAGCAGTGTGCTGCTAGTAGAAGGTGCTTCATGAAGAATAATTTAAAAACACTGGATGTTCGAATGCGCAAAAAGGCCAGACGGTATTTCATGAAAGGAAATTACAGCAAAGGAAATATACAGTTCGTTCAGTGTAGCGCGTCTGAGAATTTGTAACTTTTTTGGTTTATCGGCCACTTATATAAGTTGTGGTTTCGCCAGATATTACATTGACCATTTTTATATCTAACAATGGTAAATGTTCAAGAAAGGACAGTGAATTACCCAAATCAGTTCATAAATACACTTTAAGTCCAAACAACCTATGCTCAGTGAGTACAAGCCTGGGTAGATTGGGTATTGTGAAAGTATTGATGTCACTTAGCCCTTGACATTAATAATTATAATAATTAATAAAAATTTATTCATTTTATAAGGCGCAAATTTCATATAGATATGTTCAAATGCGCTGTACAATGAAGACATTAAGCGTGGAACAATGAATACATCTACACATGGTTGAGCCGATGGCATACAAGGGCAGCTCAGGCAGCCGCCATACGACCCACATTCACCAACATCAGTAAAGAGGAGACAGTAAGAAGCAGTTACAGTTTTAGAGGTGGGAGGAAAACCCCAGAGGAATATTTTGGGTAAAACCCACGGAATCAGGTAGGGACTGAAAACCCAATCCACACGTGGACTGGGCCGGGATTCGAACCCGGGAAGGCGAAGAAAGAACTACCTTGCCAACCTGACATTTGTTATTAATAATTCATGATTAATAAAGATTATTAATTATATTGGTTCACCCACATTGCTAAAAGTTCAGTAAAGGAAAACTATAGGCTATATGTAAAAAAAAAATCGACGGCTGTGTAAAATAGAAGTTAGGGCAGTTCCACGGTCGGATACCTTATACCCATTGGCTTGAAAGGTTGTTGTACAATTTATAATAAAGGACAATTATCGGGACATGTTATCCATCATGATTTGCTCAATTGTTGCACAAGTGGGGGAGAATCAAGCGAAAAAGTAATTTTAAAAACATGATGACTTAATTCAAGTACTGTCCCATTGAAGAGCTAGTAAATCACTGTATCGTGAACCCACCGTGAAATCTCTCTCAATACTGCCGTATACGAAGTAATACACGTTATAGTAATAAAAAATAATTGCGTCTTTATTAGTATTGATGTTAATGGAGGCCGAGCAAGTGGGCGCTGATTTCGCTGAGATCAAATCGCTAACAATCCGTGACGGCAGCTGTCGCTAGATTCACGGCCGTTCCCGAAGCTCTTTTTTTCGGTCGAGATACCTAACCCAGTTTGATCCGTACAGTTTTCGTTTGACCCGGTTCCGTGTGATTTAATTCGGGCCGGCCACTAGCCTGACATTTACGAAACAAGTGTTGCATAGATATGATTTACTTGGTGTCGGGGACCAGTCTTGCAGTTTTGGCGCGAAAAAGTGTTACAATATGACACCCAGTGGAGGACAGGGGTATCATTGACTAAAGTATGATATCCAAGGGAGTTATTGAAAGGAAAGGGCAAACGTTCTGGAATTTTAATTTCAACCCCCGTTTAAATAAAACATTTCAAGAACTCTGTAATTTCAAAAGAGTGATGTTTCTTTTGGTCTAATTCGAATTCTTTCTACGCCAAATTGTATAGTTCCAAGTTTCTCAGGTTTACATGAAGTAAATTTTAACTGTTGGAAAAATTGAAGGGGATCTAAAAGTCCTCCAAAATTTGGAGTGCGCTCTGATTTTTTCTAAACAAAGCTCTTCCCCGATCGATATTATAAAATTATAAGATATTTCCCAATATTTTCAAATAACATATCATGTCGAATTCATTTAATCCTTTTCATAATAGGTTGCTAAAAGAGCCATTCAAAAGGGGTAGGCCTAAAGTCTTCAAACAGGAGAATGAACCAACAACAGATTCCATTTTAGACATTACTAATTCTCATATGTTGCGTTGATTTCTTTAATCGCACATATGGAAGAAACATACTTGTGAAGTTTTCTGTACTGTGGAGAAGGCCACGTTTCACTGTACCTTTTCCTCTTTGGTCTGAAGCTAAAATTAGGCTAGTTTTAAGAAGACAAAAGCACACGCAGTGCCCTGATGAAATATCGTTCTGCCAATACAAAAGATTGCCTTTCTTCATTTTACCTGATGTCTAGTACTTTCATTTCCCAGGCCGAGAAAAGGAGGATTATTGTGTTCCATTGAAATAATATACTACCGAGCCGAGGGATCTGTGAGGGCAAAGGAGAAATTGTGACATCACATTAAGTCATTGTGACAGTACATTAATGGTGTTGTAGCCATTAATTCTGTGGATCTCCTCATGGGGGAAAAAGCTCAAATGGACGGGACTGTACATGCCCATCGATACGGGAAGATTCTCCTAGGAACGTGCTTTGTGTAGTCCTTCCTTTATACGGTCATGGAGGGACGGTAGACCACAGAAGTGTTGCTCTTCGAATGAGAGGCTCACATATAGTTACAATACCCATTACTAAGCCTGAATTACCAAGATGAATCGCTTAATCTCGATGATTTGGTGCTGGAACCTTCTGAGCAAGATGGTCGTTTTAACATCGTGCAAATGCCCTTTGCTTTCTTATCCTTAATTTCAACTATCAATAGTGGCGCACTTAGGATTTGTCGGGTGGGGGAACACCAGAATTTTTCCGCCCCCCAGATAGCTCTTGATTCTCAAGCCCCCTCCAGGTTCAGATCCTAATACTGCCAGTCACTATTTCACATAGAAACCCTTTAAATTACTGACCAATCATAAACTATAATTTTTCTAACTTACACTTGAAAAACAAGAAAGAAACTTGGGCGTTTATACAGTAATAATAACGCGCAGTCACGTGACATTCAGATGTGAATTTTTTTTGCTTTAGTAACAGGGTTCTGGTAAAATTGTGGCAGGTCTGTTGGCTTTTCTCTGCATTGCAACACTGATAAGGATTAATGATTTAACCATTTGTAAGAAGAATGTGTTTACATCTCTGAGGGTGGTCCGGTGAAGAGTGTCGATATTTACCGCAGGGAACGTCAAGATCACCAGGACACTCAAGGAGCGTCCGAAACCACTACTCAAGGATGGCTCAGTGTCGATCTGCATCGCTTTCTCGTCCTCCCAAGAATGCTTTAATAAAAACCACTGGAGAAATCACCTCATGGGTCATTCTGATTCCAAATGCATTCACAAGTGTGAGTCCTGTGGCAATGACCAGTAATCTTACACCACATCAACTCAGACCTACCTTGGACTGACGTTTAAACATTTGTGAATCAGCGAGGTTTTGGTCTGTGAAAAAATACATTAGTAATGGTGGTTAGTATTTCACATCTCCGTCCGCGAGGCATCAATTTTCCCGTGAACAGTCGTCGAAAAACAGAAAAACAAAACAATGCAAGATTTCTCGGCATCCTGCTGGAAAGTGTCATCTGGCGAGAACAATAAATCCAACAAATTTGGTGTCAAAACATGCGCAAGGCATCTCGAAATTCCCACAGAGATTGCGTGGTTCATGGTGATGCAGGGAAAACTGGGTTGGGGCCATGTTAGGATTCCTAATGTCTTTGACTGACCATCATCCTGTACAATACAGATCCAAAAAGTTAACTTTTCTATTTAATGCGTTCTGCATTTTAACCCCTCCCCAAAAAAAAGCATCGAGTGGAAATGATCTGATTGGTATACAACCCATGTATTAATTGGCAATCCAATTACATTTTATTGATGGATTTTCTTATTTCATCGAGACTACAGATTTGTGCGGTCATAGGCAATAGTCTACAAGAAACAGTAGGTTCTTCGGTGGTGCAAATCATGGGCCTTGCAACGAGAGAAATATATTTAGGGAGTTAAGTCGTCATAACGGTATTAGAAATATTTCTGCTGATAAACCAAAAAAACAGTGGACATATTATCGGGTTACCATTATCCAGTAAGGGGGGTGTAACTGATTCGATCATATGCCTCGTGACTACGTAGTATCTATAGGGGCCTACTCAAGACATACAAACCAGCAAGTCCTCAATTGAAATCGGGTGACAAGAATGGAAGTTTTCGACTGCCCTTGTTGAATCTGGACTTAAACTAAGGTAAAAACCAATAACTATCTGTTCATGACTGTGTTCCTAGCTGTATAATTCACAGTAAAAGTATCTCTGTGGCATCTTGCCGTTTACTGTACATTTAATTGCGCTGAAGGCAAATGCAGTTTAATATACACAGGAAAGAAAAGAGGGACCAGTGCACAGCGCTTCTGTCATAAATGTCAGACTTTTGACACTTTCGAAATTCCTTTCAATGGATATATGGCGAGGATTAGCAGCATTCTGTTAATATTAACTCCGTGCGAATGGAGCAAGTACAAATAAATGTACGGCGTTCCTGCAGACTTGAACAAACAGAAACTCGAGTTGTCGTTGTGGGTCTGGTCTCCAGCTCACACGCACCCCTGGTTTTATTTCAGGGTGCAGGGAAGGCGCATAATCTAGCCCCATGGATGCTCCCTGACCCCCTACCCCTTTGTTCTTCGCCGAAAATTCCTCCATTGGGCC